ACTAATCGAGTTTACAATTGTCTTTGGATTCAATGAAACACTGGTTTTAGTGATAATTGCAATCAATTGTTGAGCGAAACAAACAAAAACACCAACACTTGTGTCGTTCAGTGCATCCAATGGTTCCGTTTGTCACCGCTAGGGATCTAATGGCCTCACAATCGCCACCCAATGACCAATGCATGCCTACAACCGCACCCACACGTGCTCTGCTCGGCCCACACGTGCATCACCTGAGCTGATCCATGTGTTGATATGTGTGACTAATTGTGATAATCGGCAAAAAGCGTGCAATCGATGCAAAACCGGCACATCTTTTGGTCAGTCGTTCAGTAATTATGTTTCACTTATGAGTCAAACAATGCATTCATTTGTTGCGCAAAAGTATTGCTTTATTTGGACGTAATTTACGACAAATTACGCCATATTTTGCAATCATTTGCCAACTCTTCACACCATTTGATCCCAACGTTTGAATTATCTTTGAAACAAGTGATGGAAAGCGAGACAACTGTCAACGATGTGGTGGACATCGCTTCGGAGGAATTGGAGTCGGCGTTCAGCCAGTGGTCCATCAGTGAAGACGTGGTGAAAGCCGAAGACGTTGTGGACAAGCGTGTGATACCCGGAGGAAGAAACGTATTGATTACAAGCGCTCTTCCGTATGTCAATAATGTGCCGCATTTGGGAAACATTATCGGATCCATACTCAGCGCCGACGTCTTCGCCCGGTATTCACGGCTCAAAGGCGTGAACACACTGTACGCCACGGGAACCGATGAATACGGAACGGCCACAGAGAATAAAGCCCTCGAGGAAGGGGTCACACCCAAAGAAATCTGTGATAAGTATTACAAAATACATAAAGATATCTACGACTGGTTTGACATTTCGTACGACTATTTTGGCCGCACGACGACTGAAGAGCAGACAGCGATCGCTCAGCAGATCTTCTGGAGACTCCATGAGAACCAATACCTTCTGGAAGAAGTGACACAACAACTGCATTGTCCGAAATGTGACCGCTTTCTGGCGGACCGCTTTGTTGAGGGCAACTGTCCCTTCTGTGACTACTGTGAGGCGCGCGGAGACCAGTGCGACAAATGCGGGAAATTGATTAATGCCATTGAACTCAAAGAACCCAAATGTAAACTCTGTTCGACAACACCGCAGATCCGGTCGTCGAAGCATTTGTTTCTCGATTTGCCGAAACTTCAGCCGAAGATCGAGGAGTGGTTTAAAGAGACGACTCAATCAAAGGAGAACTATTGGTCGCAAACGGCAAAAGTGATCGCCAGCTCATGGCTTAGGGATGGACTCAAACCGCGTTGTATTACACGCGACCTGAAGTGGGGAACACCTGTGCCTTTGGAGGGCTTTACCGATAAGGTGTTCTACGTCTGGTACGACGCGCCCATTGGCTATCCATCGATTACAGCCCATCATAACAAGTATTGGGAGGAGTGGTGGAAGAATCCCGAAGACGTGACACTTTACCAGTTT